CGGCTGCGATCATCGCCTGGCTCAAGCAGGCGAGCACCCACTTTGGCCGCCCTGTGCGCCGCCTTCACTCTGATGGCGGAGGCGAATTCCTTAATCGTCAGGTAGTCTCCTACTGTGAGCTTCATGGCATTCGCCAGACTCACACCCTCCCTCACTCCCCCCAGCAGAATGGTGTGGCCGAGAGCCGTGTTCGGGAGATCACCAAGATTGCTCGGTGTCTCCTCGTCCATGCCTCTTGCCCCCCTTCTCTGTGGGGCTATGCCCTCCTTCACGCCACCCTCCTTACTAACCTGTACCCCCACCCTATCCTTCCCTCCACCACTCCCACCGAGCTCTAGACGTCGGCCAAGCCTGACGTCTCCTCCCTCCGTGTGTGGGGCTCCGGGGCGTATGTCCTCATTCACCCTGCGGACCGCCCCCGCACCATGGGAAAGCTCGCCTCCCGTACCCTCCCCTGCATTTTCCTTGGTCATAATCCCTCCTCCCCGGACTACCTCTTCCTTCACGCCCCCTCAGGTCGTTTCCTCCGCAGTCGGGATGTAGTCTTTGATGAGTCCACACCCTACTATTCCACTCCTCCCCCCACTGACCCTCTCGCCCCTGCTCCCAGGCCCCTCACCTGGTCCGACACTATCCCACCCCCTCTTCTCCCTCCCCCTCCCATCCTCCCCCCCGCTCCACCTCCTCCATTCCCCGCCGCCTCGGTCCCTAGCGCTCCCCCCTCCTCTGGTGACATATTTGACCCTGACCTTTTTTTCCCCCCCGCCTCCCCGTCCCACTCCTCCCCCTCCGCTCCCTCCCATCCTCCCCCCTCCCCTCCTCCCCCCTCTCCCCCGTGACCCCCTCCCCCCCTGCATCCCACCCGCTCCATCCTCACCCGGTATCCCCACACCAGGTCGCGTGACGAAGTCCTAGGTGCCCCGCCTCTTGTTATCCTCTCTTCCTCTACCTTGCCTCCTCTCTCCCCTCTCATGGACCTCCTTTTTCAGACAGTCTTACAGCAAAACACTAGCCCAACCCTGCCGTCGAGCTCCAGTACAGCAGTCCCAACATCAGCAGCAACAGCTGCAGCAGCAGTTCCACCCACCGCAGCAGCACCAGCAGCAGCAGCCGTCGCTCCTTCCTCGCCTTCACCCGCAGCAGCAGCAGCGGCGGCAGCAGATGCAACAGTAGCAGTCGCCTCAGCAGCAGCAGCAGCAGATGCATCCTCAGCAGCAGCTGCATTCCTCCCATTCATTTTCCACTCCTCCCTCCTCGAGGACTCCCATGAGGAGTTCCTCAACCTCCACCTGCATGATCCAGCCCTCCTACCCATCTCCCCTGACCTCAGCGGCACACCAGTCTTCGCCTTCTCCTCCGCCCCCACCATCTTCGTCCCCGCCACGTACGAGGAGGCCATGGCGTGCCCTGGCGCTCACCTCTAGCTCGCGGCCATCCTCAAGGAGTTGGAGGCGTTTATTGCCAACTCCTCCTTTGTGGATGTGCCCCGCCCTCCCTCTACCACGAACGTGGTCAAAGGGAAGTGGGTGTTTCGGGTGAAGCAGCTTCCTGGCGAGCCGCCGGTCTACAAGGCCCGCTACGACGCCAAGGGCTTCACCCAGCGCTACGCTGTCGACTTCTTCGACACCTTCTCTCCCACCGCCAAGCCCGCTACCATTCGCGCAGTCCTCGACCTCGCCGCTCGCCTCAACATGGAGATTCACTCCATGGACGTCTGCAACGCATTCCTCCAGGGGGTCTTGCGCGAACTCATTTACATGGAGCGTCCTGCAGGCTTCCACCTCCCCTTTCCTCCCGGCTCTGTCTGGCAGCTGCGCCGGCCGGTCTATGGGCTCAAGCAGGCACCAAGGGAGTGGCATGACAGCTTGCTGCCACCCTCGCCGAGCTTGGCTTCAGCACCTCTCGCGCCGACCCCTCCCCCTTTTACATCCTCGTCTATGTCGACGATATGATCCTCATCACTGCCGACTCCGCCGAGCTCGAGCGCGTCAAGCGTGAGCTTAGCAACCGGCTCAAGTGTAAGGATCTAGGGGAGCTGCAGCACTATCTCGGCATGGAGATTACCCGCGACCGTGCTGCTCGCACCATCTCCCTCTCCCAGGGCCACTACCTGCAGCAGGTCCTGGAGCGGTTCGACATGGCTCGAGGCACCCCTCAGGTCACCCCTCTTCCTGTTGGGCACCACCTCACTCCCCTCACCTCCCCCTCCTCCTCCTCCCACCCCTACGCTGAGCTCATCGGCTCTCTCATGTATGCCATGGTCTCCACCCGCCCTGACCTGGCATACCCCATCAGCATTTTGGCTCGCTTCGTTGGTACCGGCAAGCATGATGCCGCCCACTGGCAAGCGGCCAAGCGTGTCCTCCGCTACCTTCGGGGGACCAAGGACTACGTCCTTACCCTTGGCGGCCCTTCCCCTCCCCTCCTCACTGGCTACTCTGATTCCTCCTGGGCTGACTCTAGGCCTGACCGCCGCTCCTTTCAGGGCTATGGCTTCTCTCTTGGCAGCGGCCTCATCAGCTGGCGCTCCACCAGCTCCTCCTCCATTGCCCTCTTCTTCTGCGAAGCAGAGCTGTATGCCGCTACCATGGCTGCGCAGGAGGCCCGCTGGCTCTCCTTCCTTGAGGAGCTTGGTGCCCCTCAGCGCTGTCCCACCATCTGGTGCGACAACGCCAGCACCATCCACCTCACAAAGGATGCTGTGTTCCACGGGCGCTCCAAGCACATTGAGCTTCGCCACTACTTCATTCGCGAGCTTGTGCAGGGTGGCCACCTCCAGCTGGGCAAGATTGACTCTGCTGCCAATCTTGCCGACATCTTCACCAAAGCCCTCCCCCACGCCGCCCACTCATCCCTCCTTCGCCTTCTTGGACTCGCTCCCCCCATTCCCTCGTCCGTCTCCTGATTCAAGCCCTCTAGTCTTATGCATGCTGGGGGGTTGTGTTGTAAAATATATATATATATCTATACAACATGCATGCCTAGATTAGGAGGTGTAGTCATTATAATTATTGGGGGGTTGTTGGTTGGGTTGACCAACCCCACATTTGGGTTGGTCAAGTTTGGATTTGGTCCTAGACATTTGGTTGGCACTATTCCAACCAAATGGTCCTTGGTCCTAGGAACCAACCAATCACCAAGCACCACACTTTGTGGTTGCTTGCCTTCCAAGCAATCTCTCTCATTGGTCCACATTGTGGCCAATCAAAGAGCACCACACTTTGTGGTTGCTTGCCCTACAAGCAACCTCTCCCATTGGTCCACTTTATGGCCAATAGGAGAGCTTCCCTTCCAACTCTTCCTTGCTCCTTGTTTTGTACAAAAGAGCCTATTGGCTCCCTACTCAATTCAATCTTTTCTCTTCCAAGCTAGTTCCTTCACCGTTTATTATTATGAATAATTGAAGTCCGGAATTTTCCGAATTGACTCTAGAGAATATGATGACTTCTAATACCACACTCTTAATCATGGACATGATCCTGCTTCCGATAGTAGGATCGCTCTTGTTTAAATTTGAAATAAAAAACTTGTTATTATTTACTGTTGGCATCATGGGAATTACCATAATACCAATATGGTATCCGATTGAAACCAGCTCATTTGCTTATATAATATCGATAAAATTTTGGATCATGTCAATTGGTGTTGTTTTTAGTGATGTTATAAACTTATGGTATGAGACTATTACATACAAGCCAGAAAAATATTTAATAGTTGGCATTGGATACTTAATAGGAATGGCGATTATAGGTAAAATGGCCCCAGCTATTTGTCTTGGGTTGTACCATTACACAAAATCTCCATTTGTAATAGGCTGGTTCCTGTTTACAGTTTCATTAGCAACAATTTTTGCAATTGCTTGGCCCTATAATGATAAGGCCCCAATATGATCATTAATCTAAATTAAACTATTCTGCTTGCTTGGATAGTAAATTTAGAAATTACCTTCTCTGTACATAGTATTTTCAACCCAGATTCGCCCGCCATGAGCTTCTATGGCTAATTTACACAAGGTAAGGCCCAAACCTCTTTGTCCATTAGGTATAGCACCGGATTTGGTACGGCTATTTGAACCCATCGTAAATGGCTCAAATATAGTATTTAGCTCTTCTTGTGGTATTTCTCCCTCGTTACTTATGCTAAACTTAAGCTCAGATTCGCTGCTTTGCAGACTTATGGTTACGTCCCCTTCTCTACTATGCTTTATAGCATTAACAATTTAACTACCAACAGCTGAAGTTATATAGTATCGATCACATTCAATCAGTATATTATCTTCAATTTTGTTTAAAAAAATCAGGTTCTTTCGCTCTAGATATAATTCAGGTTCTTTTGTTCACATGGCGGTATGTGTGGCTCGCACATGGCGGTATGTGTGGCTTGCACATGGTGATATGGCAGCATCGTGCATGGTGACGCTGCATGGCAGTCATCCCCGCATGGCCTTTCATCCCCGCATTGCCTTTCATCCCCGCACTGCCTGTCATGGCCTCGTCCCATTGTCCTTGAGGGCCTCCTCCTTCCCACTCACCGCTGCTCATTCATTCCACTTCCCCATCTCTCCCTTACGTCCCCATCTCTCCCTTACTTCCCCATCTCTCCCTTACGTCCCCATCTCTCCCTTACTTCCCCATCTCTCCCTTACTTCCCCATCTCTCCCTTACTTCCCCATCTCTCCCTTACTTCCCCATCTCTCCCTTACTTCCCCATCTCTCCCTTACTTCCCCATCTCTCCCTTACTTCCCCATCTCTCCCTTACTTCCCCATCTCTCCCTTACTTCCCCATCTCTCCCTTACTTCCCCATCTCTCCCTTACTTCCCCATCTCTCCCTTACTTCCCCATCTCTCCCTTACTTCCCCATCTCTCCCTTACTTCCCCATCTCTCCCTTACTTCCCCATCTCTCCCTTACTTCCCCATCTCTCCCTTACGTCCGTCCCTCTCCCCTGCGCCTTTCCCTTCGCCTTCGCCTTCGTCCTCCCCCCCCCCCCCCCCCCCCAGGTGAGCCTGGCGCTGGGCTTCCTGTCCCTGGGCGCCTGCCAGGCCACCTTCTCCACGGCGCCCTCCGCCGTGGCGGCGCTTCTGCTCGCCCTCTTCCCGCACTTCCCCTCCTCGCCCTCCGACCACCGCTGCCACCTGCAGGTCAGCTGCACACGGGTGGGGTACAGAGGCGAGAGTTGGTGGGTACGGGAGAATGTGGAAGCAAAGGGAAAGGATGACCATTCAAGAATGAGGGCACATGAGAAAGCAGCATGAAAGGGACAGCTGCCCAAAAATGGGTGAAAGAACTCAACTTAGGAGAGAAAAGAATAAACTAGAAAGGGAGCCAAGAGGCTCTATAGTACAACCAAGGAGCAAGTAATGGTTGGTTGGGAAGGCTTTCCTATTGGCTACTGTTGTTGAGTATCTTTTTTGGGCTTTTATCTGGGATGTAGTTAACTTAGTGCATTTCTCTGTTATGTGTAATGTGTTACATTATATATTAGGTGTAGACATTAGGGGTTGGGTTATATTAGGAATAGGGCGCCCCCAAGTGATTTTATCAAAGGCTAGGCACCCCAAAATCCGAATTGGGGTACCTCACCACGCATCCCAACATTTGGGACGCGGCTCCAACCTGGACCCACGTTTCTCAACCATGAAAACGCGGCTCCAGCTTGTGGAACCACGAATCCAACTTGTGGAATCGCGGTTCCACTAGTGGAGGCGCTTCCAGGCCCACTTTGAGGGTTCCTCACGTCCCCACCTTGACTGTGGGCGACTTGAGCACCCAATTGGGCACCCCAAGTCTCTTGGGTGCCATTCTCCTCACCTGGACCAGCCCAAATCGCCCAGCACGTCTCCACCTCTCTCTTCTTCACAATCTAGGCCTACTTAGCACAATGTCTTTGTCATCTCTATTCACTACTTTGTCTTTACCATCTCCAACTTGTGCATCTTACAGCTATGCACATTGAGTCTACTTTTCTACAGCTACAATAGTGGCCAATGGGAGAGGTAGCTTGTGTTAGATTATATATATCTATTGTAACATGCTGGACTGGTATATTAGGTAGGTGTACACCAACATGTGGTGTACACATTAAAGTGCTAGGGGTGTTAATCCAACCCTACAGTGGTTGGAGCCCCCGAGCACCAAGACCACAATATTGGGACCACGCAAGTGGCTCCCATGGTGGTTGGGTACTGTTCCTACCCAACTGCATGTGGCACTGTTCATCCTTCCCTTGCTAGCTTCCCTTCCTTCCCAACTGTCCTATGCATGCTCCTGATTCTATTACTGGAACATCTTCTTCAATTCTTTCAGCTTGGAGGGGAAGCAACCCCGAAGTGTGGTGGTTGCTGATTGGTGGAGCCTTGGGACCATTCGGTTGGAAAGTGCCAACCAAAGGACCAAGGCCAAACCCAATCTTGACCAACCAAAGTGTGGTTGGTGAACCCAACCAACAATCCCCCAAAAACTTAAATGTCTACACCTCCTATTCTAGTCATGCATGTTGTATATAATAATATATTACAACAATGGGTACGTGAAATGGGATGGAACAGGCCACCTCAGTCAAGCGTGCAAGTCGGCTGGAGGGATCTGATGAAGCCTAACATATCAACGCCCCGGGCTTACCGGGGAGTCGTGCTTCTCCTGCATTCAGAGCTGCTTACTTCCGCCCTCCTCCTGCCCACCTTCGTGTTTCTCTCCTCTCCGATTCCTTGTTGCTTCGCTCCCCGCCTGTCCGCCCTTCCATCCCCCGCCTGCCCCTCCCCCCTCCCCCTCCTCTTCCCCCCCCCCCTCTTCCCCCCCCCCCTCTCCCCCCCCCCCTCCCCCCCCCCGCCAGGCGCTGCGGCACTTCTGGGTGTTGGCGGTGGAGGAGAGGGCGTTTGTGGAGGCGGTGGATGTGGACACGTGGCAGCCTGTCATTGCTCCGCTGCGCCTCTCCCTCAAGCCCACTCACTCCTCGGCCCCAACCAGTGTGTCGCTGCACACGCCGTGCCTGCTGCCGCCACTGCCGCAGGTGCGCCTCTCCTTTCGCCCTGGGTGCTCTTGGAAAGGGGGTAGCGAGGCACTGAGGTCACTGAGATGGCGATGTGGAGAGCACGACAGCAGCAGGTGAGGGCAAAGGGCAGAGTCCCTGGTAGGGAGGCAAGCTGCCCTCGCTTGCTACTGCTGGCAAGCCGAGCCACAGGCTAGTAAGCAGCCCCTCGGGTGCAGCTGTGAGGCACGAAGCAGTCACCTGGTTGGTCAGCACCCGTGCCACATGCTAGTATGCAGCCTCACGGCAAGAGGCCCCAACGATGCACAGCGGCCCTCTGCCCCTTGGCTCTTGCCTTTCTCTTCATGCTCTCTACAATTGCAACCCCGTCATTTCTGCTGTCTCTTTTGCCCCACACTCTTCCCTCTCTTCCCTCTCTTCCCTCTCTTCCCTCTCTTCCCTCTCTTCCCTCTCTTCCCTCTCTTCCCTCTCTTCCCTCTCTTCCCTCTCTTCCCTCTCTTCCCTCTCTTCCCTCTCTTCCCTCTCTTCCCTCTCTTCCCTCTCTTCCCTCTCTTCCCTCGTCCCCCCTGCTTCCCCCAGCTGAGGGAGCTGCGTCTGTGTGGTTCGCACTTCTGGCCCTTGCGAGTTGCAGCGAGGATAGCAGGTATGGGGGCATGTGGCGTGCATGTGACTAGGCATGTGAGGTGACATGTGACTAGGCATATAAGTAGGCATGTGAGTGAGTTGTGGTGTACTTCTGTGCGCATCTCGTGTGCTGTTCAGATTATTACACCCTCCTCCGCTATTTCCTTCTCCTTTTCGCCTTATAACTTGGGCATCCAACCTAATCTCCTCGCTGTTCCTTCCTCTCTTCCTCCGTCTCTCCCTCCCCTCCACCCCTCCATGTCTCCCCACAGACCCATCCCACCCGCCAGTGCGAGCCAGGAGTGGAAGGCGGTCAGGGGTGCACCGTGGGGGGGGGAGTGGAGGGCGGAGGGCTGTGGGCTGGAGGGTGGGGGCAGGGGTGGGGGGGGAGAGCAAGGGGAGGGGGCACCTGGTGCTGCTGGTGAAAGGGCGGAGGGCAGAGGCTGGCGGGGGTGCAGCAGAGAGAGAGGGGGAAGGCGATGGCAACCGGACGGGGGAGGAGGTGAGAGGTGACGCAGGGCGGCAGCAGTGCTGGCATGCAGCTTAGTAACGAATTCAATGCGAAAGTCCTCACCCTCTATAGCCACTCGCACACTCTCCTTCATGTTCCACGATCTGTCGCTGCCCTCGATGGCATCCCCTGAAATCATGGCATGCTCGTAACGCCACATGGTGCACAAGTGCCAGTGCCCGGTGCGGGTGCCAGGGCACATCAGTTGCCTCGTGAATGCTGCTTGCCCACGCTGCAACCTCTCTTACTCTTACTCCGTGTAATGCATCTCTTTCCATCTCCTCTCGTCCCCCCCTTCCCCCCTATATCTTTGTCCCCTCGGCCGTAACATCAATGGGCGTGGCATCAACGGGCGTGGCATATCTGTTTCCAGCCGCGCTTCCCCCTCCCTGTCCCCTGTTCACCCGTTGCAGCCAGCGCCCGCCTCCACTCGTCGCATAGCAGCAGCCGTATCGCTGCCCGACCCGTTCCTCTCTGCCTTCCTCCGCCTCTTCTGCTGCTCCGCGCCGCCCATTGCTGCAGCAGCTGAGTCTTTCTCAAGGTGCCGCGCCCTCTGCTCTCTGCACTGCACAGCCCGCACTTGCTTTTCCTTCTTTCCCCTCCACGGCCCCTCTTTCCCTCTTTCCCCCTCACCACAGCCCCTCTTTCCCCCTCACCACAGCCTCTCTTGCCTGCACCACCCTTCCTCTCTATTCATCGTTCACCAACCCTGCTTGCAACTTCTTACCGACCTGCTTCACACATCGGTGGCATCGCCTTTGTTTCTTGCTTCCAAGGTCTCGCAACGATGGGCAACCGCCTCTCTCCCGCGTGGCCCTCTATCCTCCCTGCAGCGCACACGGCTTCTCATCCGCCTGCCAGTCCGCGCTGCTCGTGGCGCAACAGGCACAGCAGCCGCACCTGCTCGAGGTCAGTGGACTGGCCCTGCTGTCATGCAAGCGTTCTGCGTGGAGCTGGTTTTCTCTTTTGAACCATCCCTTTCTCTCGTGTCACTCTCGTGCATCTGCTCACAGCGAGCCCATCTCGCCTCTTCCCCCCGCAGGTCCTCCTATCCCTCATGACCGCCTGCCACGCCGTGCGCTCTCTGCCTCGCTCTCACTGCACCCGCTTCTCCGCCTTGCCCAGCCTCGTCTCCAGCTTCAAGGTGATGGCTGCCTGCTGTGCCTCACGTGGTGGTACAGTGCTCCCTGATTCTTCTGCCAACTGTGTTGTAGAGGGTGGAGGGCATTGGCATCGGTGGCATGTCCGGCATGTCGATGGTTGCAAATGAGTGTGGCTTGAAGGCACAGAAGTCAGGTCATGGGAGCCTCAGAGCGTGCTAGGCTGCGGAGGACTGGCAGTGAGTCAGTAATATCGTGTTGTGACAGTACATTGCGGCGTGTCATGTCATGTCATGTCATGTCATGTCATGTCATGTCATGCCATGTCATGAGCTGTGAACTCGCATCTCGTGTGCTGAATCATGCCGTAGCATTTGCTGGCAGTGGTCTATTCTCATAACACTCTCTACTCACCCTGCCTCTGCGACTAGGTCCTTCCTCTGTTCTCTGCCCCCAGCCTCTCCCATTGCTATCCATCCCTTCCTGCTGCGCACCACCCCCCTCTCTGTTGGATCATGCCTCACTCCGTCCCCTCCCACTTCACTCGTCCCCTTCCCCAATGCTCTCACTTGTTCTCCTGCCATCCATGCTTGTCGTGTGTCCTCCCGCCCACCTGTGCCCTGTCCCGCTCCCCGTCATCCCCATGCCATCAGGTACTAGAAGCCTTCATTCCTTCGCTCCGAGCGCTCGCCTCTACCTCCCGCTATCACCCCTCCAGCCTTCTCAACTCGCACTCCCCGATGCCCATCGTCAGCCCGCTCTTCCTGCACTCTCTCTGCTCCACCCTCCATCGCGGCCTCCTTGCACCCGCTCACCCGTCCTCCCCTCCCTCCGCCTTGCCCCTCCTTCGCCAACGTCTGGGGGAATACTCTCACCGGGCCCTGCTCCTGTGGCACCAGCAGCAGCAGCAGCAGCAGCAGGCACCACAATTGGCAGGTTTAGCAGCAGCAGCGACAGCACTGACAGCAGCAGCATCAGGCAGCATGAGGGCTTTATCAACGCATGCCACCTGGCACCATGCAAGCACTCAACTGTTTTCACTCTTCCTCCTTGCCTTCTCCTTCCCTCCCCCTCTCGCCCTGGGCCGCGCTTTGGATACTGCTGCCACCTCTTGCCCTGCACCTGCCTCCACCCCTTCCACTCGTGTGGCTCTCATCCCCTCCCTCCCTCTGTCGCTGCTGCTGGCTCTCCTCCTCCCACAGCTACGGCAACACTCAGGTGTCTTGGCTCTGCTGCTTGAGGCTGTAGAGAGATTGACATAGTCTTGTAACATTTCAAGTAGGTAGGTAGCAGAAGTACATATCATAGTCCTAGAATGATCCAAGAGGCAATTGGATTGGAGTATGTTGGGCATGTCCTTTTCTTCAGAATGTTAAAGGATGTTCAAACTTGCATTCCTGAAGTTTGGTTAGTCTCCATCAGTAAAGTGATACCTCTTGTAGAGGACATGAAATAGTGACCAGGGTTCTCGCTAAGGCCGACAGTTTTCTCAGAAACGCAGCCGCTAATCACTGTGCTAAAGGGCTTCTTAAGTACCGTAATCCCCCGTATATAACACCTGCCGAAATTGTCACTTCATGGGTGGTTAATGTCGTGGCACTGGGATAACCCTGTCGATCGTCTCTCTCTCTCTCTAGGGAGGGTACTGGGGAGGCTTTCCTCGGGGAAAGGTGGACATATGAAGCCTAACCCTCCTAATGAGATCCCTTATTGTCCCAATGGTTATGACTGGTGACTTTATGATATGGTATCAGAGCCATCCGGGGTTCAGTTCCTGGTGTACACTCTATCCCAGCGGGGGGGGGGGGGGGGTGTGTCGTGGCACTGGCCCTGTTGATCCTCTCTCTCTCTAGGGAGGGTACTGGGGAGGCTTTCCTCGGGGAAGGTGGATATATGGAGCCTAACCCTCCTGATGAAATCCCTTCTTGTCCCTGTGGTTTGGACTGGTGACTTTATGATAGTTAATACGGGGGGGGGCTTATGATACGGTGCATTTTTTAGAGCACCTGTTTTTCTAACATAGAATTTTACATAACACCCTCCTCGTTTTATTCGTTTTAAAAATGTATTTGTTCATGTATTACAAGGTCCGCTCAGCTGCAAAAAGCGAGCATGATGAAATTGCGCGTCAACAACCATTAGCACCGGAAGACCGGGCAGAAACATCAAGTCGCTGCGCGGAAATCCCTAGCAAGGTCGAGAGGATCTTGACCGCCCAAATCGAAATGGGGAATCGAATTGCAGGGAAGAGGGGATCGAATTGTGGGGTAAGGGGGAATCGAAATTGTGGGGGGAAGGGGGATTCGAGATTGTCAGGGGAAGGGAGGATCGAAATTGTGGGTGAAGGGGGAATCGAAATTGTTGGGGAAGGGGGAACTGAAACCGTTGGGCCAGGGGGTTACAACGACTTCCTAGCAGCCTCTTCCCAAGCAACCTCTTCCCATACTCGCATGCTACAGTGTCGCAAAATTTGATGCGAAATGTTTTTGTTCGATTCCGCGAAGTGCAAAGTGAGATTCGGCTTCCCGAGATTCAGGGGCGTGTTAAAAATCTCTTTTCAGACGAGCAGATCTTCAGACAAGCGCGAATCTGCACAGTAAATTTTCGATGCCAGCTGGTTTTATGTGGTTGAGAGCGATGGAACGCAAATATGAAACGGGAGTATTCCGAAAAGTGGTCCCGCGAACACGCTCTCAAGGTCGCGCGTGAGTCTGGGAAGAGGTTGCCTGGGAAGAGGCTCGTAGGAACACGATATTACGATATTGTGGGGGAGACGGAAAAATAAAAATTTCTTGCCTCGTTAGCAGCCGCTCTGCACCCTTATGGACAAATAGGGCCTGGAACACTCAAATTCATTTTGCCTTTACATAACACATGGGCGTTATATTTTTCCGGGCCACTGTTAACACCCACTCAATTTTTTAGTGAATTTTTATAACCACCATAGGGTGTCATATACGGGGGATTACGGTAGTGATATAGCGTGCCCATAACATCCCAGGCATAGCAATCTGTGCCCCTTCTGATCTTCTAGGGCGACCCAGTGGGTCTCTCGACACCCCCCCTCGCTGGGGTAGGCGGAGGACTCGGCACTTCTGCAGTGCATACTGGGATTCGAACCCGAGACCTCTGGCTCTGATACCATCTCAGAAACACAGCCGCTAACCACTGTGCTTAAAGGGCTTGTTAATTAGTGGGATAGCGTGCCCATACAGTGACGGAAAAAATCGGCCGGATATTTAACACTTCGTGACTCAACACCATACCTCACATGTTTTGTGTAAAGTAACATCGTCGATCCAGACAGTTCATACCGAGCGACAGACTAGATCTAATTTCGCTTGCCACTTAGGGTACACACCAGTTCGCGCGACATACAGGAGTTAGTCCAGGAGCGAACCTACGACGGCAACGTGATGAGACTAGTAGATGAGAAGAAGTGTGCCCGTATCTGAAGCATGTTGCGCAAGGGGCAGTCGACCAGGAAAATCGCTAAGGAGCTTGGCATAGGCAAAGGTACCGTACATGATTACGGGCCGAAGGCGATGGGGTGCGCCCCGCGATGCCCACGGCAGGTCGCCTACGCTTAATCACAGCTCGCCTCCAGCTCGGAATAGTGGGAGCGATTACGAGCGGGGAGGCGAAAACCAGCGTTGAAGTCGTGAAAATTTTAGAGGAGAAACACGATCTCGCTCTAGACTTAAGGACCGTAAGGAACTCGTTACAATCCGCGGGGCTCGTCGCAAGGCAGCAGCCCAAGAAGCCCGGGCTCTCAGCGAAACATATTAGAGATCGGCTGGATTTTGCGAGGTCACACACTGACTGGACGATGGAAGACTGGAAGCATGTGATATTCTGATAAGACGAAGATTAATCGTTTTGGCTCCGGCGGACGCACGTACGCCTCAATTCGTCAAGGCAGCACCCTCCAACGCCATCAAATCCAGCAGACAGTTAAGTATGGGGGCGAATCTGTGATGGTGTGGGGATGTATGACGTATGAGGGGGCGGGGTTCATGTGCAAGATCGATGGAAGGATGGATGGGCTGCTGCCACAGACCGTAAACCGGGCGCCGGAGGAACCACTCGGTCCGAGGAGGTAAAGTGCTCGAGAAGCCTGGCGGGCGGCGGAGGTAGATCTGCTCATGTAGACTGCCCTAGAGGAACGCTGTGGAGAACTCCAGCAGTGAAGCTTGTAGTCGAGCTGTGCTGCTACGTAAAGCAACGCCTGAAGAGTAGTCATCTCCGAGGTCGGGGCGAAGGTCTGAAAAAAATCAACGCCCTTGCGCTGACTGAAGCCTCTAGCAACGTAGCGCGCCTTTAACACCGGCGGCTCTCCAGGAGGGCACTTCACCTTGAACAACCACCGGCCATCAACTACGTTCGCCCCAGGTTGGGGAACTACGTCGACGTAGGTGCCAGTGGATCTCCAAGATGCCATCTCTGCTTCCATGGCAGCTATCCACTGAGACGCCCAGGATCTCGAAGTTGGCTCAGCGTAGGTGCGAGGGGTCAGGATGTCAAGAGCGTCTGGGTCACCCTCAAGGGCTAGCAGCATGGAGCAGAGATGAGGGTCCTCTAGGACGTCATTGCCAAGGGCAGGTGCACCCTTGTCGGGCGTAGGACGGGCAGGGTCAGAGACCAGAGCAGTGGCGTAGTCAAGGCGGCGGGTAGAGGCAAAGTTAGCGACGAGAGCAACAAGAGCCGAGAGACTAGAGACAGGAACGGACGGGCTGGTAAAAAGAGAGGCGAGGATCCGAGGAACAAGAGGAATAACAGCACGGAGGAAGTCAGGGAGAGGAGTCAAGGAGACAGAGAGGGACGGCTGAGGAGGCGATGGGAGAACAGGAGCGGGAGGAGCACGAGACGCTTAAGACCTGAGCAACATAGGTTGGGAACGCGGAACAGGAGAGCCAGGACGAGCGCGAGGGACACATTGAGACCACCAACAGGAGGGAGGTGTTGGGTCAGGAGACAAAGGCAGCGACATAGGAGGAGAACGAGAGGGGAAACAAGCCAGGGACGAGTCCGGCAGAGGAAACACAGGGCCGAAGACAGGCAGAGGAGGAGGTGCTAGGGGAGGCGCGGGTGGCCGGTCAGGAGAGGGAAGACCGAGAAGGCGAAGGGTGGACACTGGCAGAGATTGCTGCTGCTACGGTGGCAAGGGCGACTGCTGCTGCTACTATTGCGGCTGCTGTGGTGGCTGCTGCTGCTGGAGCAGCAGAGGAGACACCGGGGCCGAGGGTGCAGGCGCCGCAGAAACACGCTGTGGACCCTGAGCCTCAGGGCCTCCAGAGTCGATAGACTCCTCCGCCGAGTCAACCGAGGGTTGAGGAGTGACGTGAGACACACCAGACAAGGCAGGACGGGGAGCGAGAGCCACCGGGGGAGTGGGGACAAGGAACAGGGGTGGGGTAATGTGGGAGAACTCAGTATCGAAGCGGGTATAGAAGGGAACAGACTCGTCAAAGGTGACGTCACGCGAGTGAAAGAAGCGGTGAGACGGCGGGTGGTAAAATTGCCAGTCAGACACGTCCAGGGGGAAGCTAAGAAAGACACAGGGGACGGTGGGGGTAGTAAGCTTGTCTGCGCGAGAGTCGCGGACGTGTGTGAGGGAACCCCAGACATGAAACGCAGACGCGTCACCAGGGGACCCGATCCAGAGAAGGGTCTGCAAAACCTGCGGCTGCTGGGAGTGCGGCCACAGGTTACGCTGGTGAGCAGCGTAGCGAATTGCGAACGGCCACAGAAAATGGGGTGCATCGGCATGGATCATGGAGGTACGAGCCACCTCCTTGACCAAACCGATGCGTCACTCAGCAACCCCATTCTGCTGCGGGGAGTCTGGCAGGGTGTACGACTGGGAGATGCTCTCCGCACGACAGAACTGGCCAAGCCGACCGGAGGCGAACTCTCCACTACGGTCGGAGTGGAGACGGAACATGGGCAGGGCGCGATGGACTAGAGCAGCTACAAGCCCAGGATAAGAACGCCAGGCATGTCGGCCTTCCGCTCAAGGGAAACACCGTGGTGTAGTGCATGTGGTCATCTACGAGCACCAGAAAGTAGCACTCGCGACGCAGCCCAAGGACGGGGCCCGGACTTCCGACATCCAAGTGCAGGGTCTGAAGTGGCGCAGTGATGGGGGGGAATGAGGTGAGTAGAAACTGGCACAAAGGAGGGTGATTGGGTACGCGATGTCACTGTCCCACTGTAGCAGGTGTCACTTTTCTGCCAAGGGAGTTTCAGGGTCAATGGTGTACCCTTGTGTGAAGAGTCCCTTGAGTAGCGGGTTCATCCCTTCGACCTGGATAGCCGGCTGAGAGCGTCTGCTTTGTTTTTGTGGCTGGGCTTGTACATGATGTCGTAGTGGAAGTGCGTCTTGAGGAAGTCAATCCATCAGACCTGTCGCTTGGAGAGATTTGGCAGTGTCTTTAAAT